ATTGGTAACAAGCTGCAGCCTTTGGCTCTACCACAAGCTCCGAGCAGAGGAAGGTTTGTGTTAAAGCTGTTATAGGGAAACACACAGAACGGCCCAAGCACACCTATAGAAGTGCTTCCAGGGGCAGGGCTATTCCTTCCAGCAGGCTATTGAATAACAGAATGGCCACTGCTGGAAGGGACCTCAAGGATCGTGAAGCTCCAACCCCCTGCCACACACAGGGCCACCAACCTCCACATTTAATACTAGACCAGGCTGCCCAGGACCCCATCCAACCTGGCCCTGAACACCTCTGGGGACGGGGAATCCACAGTCTCTCTGGGCAGCTGTTCAGCACCTCACCACTCTCTCTGTAAAGGATTTCCCCCTGACATCCAACCTAAATCTTCCCTCCTCCAACTTAAAGCCCCCTCATCCTGCAGTTATCTACCCTTTCCAAGAGTTGACTCCTCTCCTGTTTGTAGGCTCCCTTTAGGTACTGAAGGCTGCAATGAGGTCACCCCGCAGCCTTCTTTTCTCCAGGCTGAACAAGCCCAGCTCCCTCAGCCTCTCTTCATAGGGGAGGTGCTCCAGTCCCCTGATCATCTTCGTTTTGAAGAGTTCAACGAGGAAAAAAAGCACTGCTGCCTCTGTATCTAAGATAAAACTCCCAGCTCTGAGGGCTGTGTGTACACCAGTGTTGTTTTTTTTCCAAGCTGATCCTTTCGTTTAAGGCACAGCCCAGCAGGCTCTGCTCTGCTCCATCAGTGTCCCCGTGCCAATGTTTGCAGAGCAGCCAGGCTCAGGCGTGACCTTGAGGGCCTCCACAGCACTGCTTGCTTTTTGTTCCCTTAACCCAGCATGAACTGCGGGCACTGCACAGCTGAAGCTTTCTTTAAAAGGAAAGGAACCACAGCCACGTGGCCTGCACCCCGTGCACAACCCACCGGCCTGGGCTGCGCTCCTCCTCCTTCCTTACCACAGCTTTTCAGCCTCGAAGATCACAGCAGCTGTAACCTACAGGAAGCACAACCGGATCGATGGGAAAGCTGCAACAAAGTCAGATGGGAAGGGGAGCTTCGCTAAGCACAAAACCCAACCAGATTTTCAACCAGACCTAAAGCTGAAGCCGCGATTCTGATTTATAACGTGATTAAAAGCGTTACATCTGCGTTAGCAGAGCAGGAACGGGGCAGACGTACACAGAACGCTGAGGCCCAGCCGGTCTGACCTTCCCCAATGACACCACAGCAGCAGCACGCCGTGCCCTCAGGGCCGCAGCAGGACGGGCCGGGCTGTCAGCCCTAGGATAACCCCACCTCCACCCCACAGCACGGCCCCGAGTGCCGCCATCCAAGCCCGAACCTGAAAGATTTGACTTTTCCCCATTGAAAAAGCGATCCGCTTCAGGCTTAAGCGGCGAAACAGCTCGCGCGGCCGCGGAGAGCTCGGCCCCCGCGGGGCGCACGGCACCGCGTAAACCCACATCGAAGCGGCCTCACGCCGAGGCCCGCCCGCCCGCCGGGTCACGGCAAGGACACCGCGGCCCGCCCGCCGCCGCTCACCTGCGGGGCCGCGGATGGCAGCGCGGAGGCCGGCGGCGGCGGCGCAGCGGCGGAGGAGGAGGGCGGCGGCGGCGGGCAGCATGGCGGCGGGCGGGAGGACGGCACCGAGAGGCGGCCGCGCTCTGAGGGCGCGGGGCTGCGGGATGCGGGAGGAAGGGGAGGGGAGCGGGGAGCGCTACGGTGGCGCCGCGGGGACAAAGTTCTGCGCGGAGCGGGAGCGCGACGTCACGTGGCCGCAGCTGCGCGGGAAGGCGGGGGGTGGCGGCCGCCATTTTGTGGCGGGGTTGGTGCTGGGTGTGTGGTGATGCGGCTACGTGCCGTTCCCGCCATCAGTCCTCCCCTCAGGCTGCTCTGAGCACACTGGAGAATTCGGCTGCGCCTCACGTCTTCCTGTCTATATGCACCACCATCTTCATTGCCTTCCTCTGGGTGTTTGCTGTTACGATGTCCTTCTGACGCTGTGGCACCCAGGTTGCCTCCAGCACTCACAGTAGGCAGCGCCTGCCCTCAGTCAGCTGGCAGCGCCGGGCCTGCTGCACCACAGGGCATGGTTACACATCTAGCGCACGCTGCTCAGGTAGTGCTTGCTGGCAGCCAGAACCAGAGCTTGGAATCCTAATTTAGTTGTAGAATCGTTTGTAAAAACACAGAATTGGCTTCAAAATGGAGCCACAGGGAACCCCACTAATGACTGTCCCCCAGTCTGCTGTTACCCCATTTCCTGCCACCCTTTGAGCTCAGCCCTTCAGCCGGTTGTTCACCCATCCTATTACAGATGTGTGAAAGGCTACAGTGTGTTTCAGAGCCCCCCCAGGCTCTAAATCTAGATCCCCCAGGGACGGGCTGCCCATCAGCAGCAGTGCTGTGAGGGGATGGAGCCCCTCCTGGCAGCAGTCTGCTCGCTGTTTGCAGCCCAGCAGCTGGGTTAGCACAGCAGCAGCTTGGCCTCTCAGAGGGAAGCAGAGCCCTCAGGGCCCTCCAAGCTCTTGTGGCTATCAGGGCCCGCAGCTGCTTGGCATTAAAGGCTTTCCACGGCTGAATGCAGCCTGGCTTTCCCAAAGGGAATCCCTGCTGCCAGGCTGTCTTCAGAGCATCAGTGAGCCCAAGATGGGTGCATAGAGACTCATCGCATCCCCATCCCCAAATGCACACCAGGATGCTGCCCACAGCTGAGGCTGCTGTAAGGCAGTCTGTGCCACCATCCGTAAAGCCACGAGTTCACAGAATGACCCCAAAATTACTATTCATAGGTGCCGTGGGCTGTGCCTCCACAGCAGACAATCACCACGCTGTTTTCACTCACAATGCCCCCTTAGGACCCTGTGGAGCCAGATGCCATCCTGCTATTTATAAATGCTTCATATTTGGAGTTGCAGTCAGTTTTATTCTTTTTAACTATTTCCTCATGCAGGAAATTCTTGGTACACAGCCAGCAGTGCGAAGCGTTTGAAATCCCCAGCCTCCTGTTGCCTGCAAGGTTGCAAATTGCCTGCATATAGAATCAATTAAAAATAATTTTGAACATTAACAAAATAATATGGTAAAATGAGTGACTTTTTTTTTTTTTTTTTTTTCCCCTCTTTCTCCTTGCCTTTCTCCTTGCTAGGGGCAACATGAGCTGGCATTAGAACCGTTAGTTCTCAAAAGTCTTCATGCCTAGATGGAATTGTTTACTGAGTTCTGCCCCCAGTGTCCTCCACTGCTGGCTAGGAGACCAAAATCCCCTGGCTCTTATCAGTGGGGTCAAGGCTGAGGCTTTGGGGTCCTGCTACTGCTGGTTAGGAGACCAAAAATCCCTATCTGTGATCAGTGAGGTAGAGAATTTGGGTGGACATGTCATGCCCTGTCATAACCCATATTCCTCATCTCTTTGTGCATAGTTCTTCATTAACCTCGTTTGGGATGGAAACTGGTGCAAGATGCTGTGCTGAGGGCTTCTGCTGATCTACTTGCGGGGCTGAAGGCACACAACAGCCTGTTCTGCAATGGCTTATTGGCTTCAAACTGCATTATATGCACAGCACCTTGCCCAGCACCACTGAGGTGTGGACAAATTTGATTCTGGGGTCTGTTCAGCCCCCTCCGATTCTTATGCCAACCCCTTCTTTCTGGGAATAAAACTCCCACAAAAATAAGAAAACAATTGGAAATTAACGTTCAATTACATGGTGGCAGATAAGTGAAATGAATCAATCTGTGGCAGGGCAGATAAGCACAAGCTCCAGCCCGGAGGAGCAGCTGCCTGCTGAGGGAGATAACAAGGTCATTGCCAAACAACCCCCCCCTTCCTCCTCTTTCTCGCTCCCCTGGTCTCCTTCCATTCCCTCTCCCAGCCAAACAAAGCACTTTCCAAGCCAGCCTTTGGCAAAGCAGCGATGCCCACTGACCCCATCCCAAGGCTGCGCTCTCTAGAGCCAACTGAATCTGTTCTGCTTGGGCAGGGGACCCAGGTGGATTTGGGTTCACTTGGCCTCCCACAACCCATCTCTGCATCGTCCCGGTCTCCATGTGCTGGCAGGGGGCTGGCATGGGGCAGATGGAGTTCCATGGGGGGTTTTGCCAGGCTCTGCCATGTCAGCAGGGGCCAGGCAGCTGCCAGGGCATGCAAAGAAGCTGGCACTGATTCCTCATCCCCAGGAGGCAGGATTTGGCCAAGATCCCCTTGTTCTGGCTCAGCAGCAGCCACAGTCCCAACCTCACTGTGCCCATCTGTGCCATGGCCACTGGCACAGACGATCCCCCACTCCCCCCATAGACATACTTCAACTGTTTCTAAAGAGCTTTTATTTTCCGTTTGTTTCCTTTTACCCATAGAAAAAGCAGACGTTTCACTCCAAAGGGCTTTCTGGGGAGCCAGCCCATAGCAAATGCTCCACAGCCAAACCTACAAAGCTCTCCTTCATCCCAGCATCCGTCCAGCATGTTGGAGATGATCCACCTGATGCTCCCCATTGCCTCCATCCCTGGTCATCATGCTTTCACCATGGCTGCAAACACCTCCGGGAGAGGAAAAACTTGAATATCTGATGTGGGAAGAGGGGTTATTTCCATTTCTGTTCTTTGGGGGCTGCTGTTGAAATGAACGGCAGTGCTCTGGGGCTTGTTTCCTCGGTTCTCAGGCTGCAGCAGTTCTGGGAGAGGAAGGATCAGCTTCGGGTATTTCAGAGCAAAGCACAAAATAGAAACGATGCCACGGCAGAGAGGAAGGGACAGAGACAAAGCAGGGAGATGGGTGAGAGGGAGCAGGACCCATCTGCTTGTTTGTGCTATTCAAGATGAATCACAGGAGCCACGAAGCGCGGATCCCAGCATTAATAAACCTGACAGCTCCTCTCTGGGGTTAATTGCAGTGGTTTTGATAATGAAGGTGTTACTCCGATGGGCTTTGGGCTCTTTGCTGCTGGCTGAGACATCCCAGTGTGGAGCGGTGGCATGCAGCTGCCTTTCCCAATCTGGAGAGGATCCAAAGGATGCTTCGGCTCTGTGGAAGTCCTGGAGAGCTGCTGTGCCGGGGGCTATTTAGCAGGGCTGGCAGGAGGCATGAGTGGCTCTGCATCCCTACAACTGCACACAGCACCAGGCAAAAGGGAGAAAAAGTTTGGAGAAGGGAGGTTTTCCCACATACCTACACACCACAGCCCCCCTTCATTGAATGGGGAGCCAGGGATGTGTTCTGCATAGGGTCAGTAGCCCCCCAGACCCTGCTGTGAGCATGTAATAGGGTCAGTAGTGGCCATTCGTCTGGCTGTCTCTTGTCCCCGAGCCCTGCAGGCTGCCGGCTCCCGCTACCTGCAGCTTCTTGGGCAGCAGTTCCTCATGGGCAGGCGGTGGGGGCCGCTTCAGCCCCTTGGCTGAGGAGCTCGAGGGGTCTTCTCCTGCCTCTCTGGGCTCAGGGGGTTGGTAGCCCGTCTGGTTTGGGTCCAGGGGATCACGGGAGAGCAGGATGCAGATGGAAGGGACGTTCTTGTGGACGGTCAGATTCTGTGCTGCACCGCCAGGCAGCGGGTCCTGGTTCTCCCAGACCTCCAGCAAGGTTTTGTAGCGTACCTTGGTGACCTGGTGAAGACCCCCCAGCTTTCTTTTCATGATCTCCACGCAGGTGATGGTCTTGGTGACTGCTCTGCCGCAGCCGCTGAAGACAATCTGCCGGCTGCCCTTCAGCTCCATCTGAGCCATGGCGAAGCTCATCAGGTTCCTGATCTTGCTGCCCTCCTTCACTTTCATCTCCACCACACCTGGGGGCAAGTCGGGGAAGGGCAAGGGGCTCTCCTCCTCTGATGTCCTGACCTTTCGGAAGTTCTCCATCCCAGAATGGGCAACGGGCTTGGCCGCCATCCCTCACCCCACACTTAGCCCCCACTGTCTTGTTCCAGCTCCACCTTCACGTTCTCAGGACAGCCAGCCCCTTTCCCTCTCCTCGTCCTGGTGCTGGCTGTCCCCCGGGGAGGCCAGAGCTGTAGGATCTCCTGGGTGCCCCTGCTTGCTGCCAGCTGCAGCTCTCGGCAATGCTCAGGCTCCTCTGTTCTGTCTGCAGCGCTTGCTTCTGCCGCTCTTTGCTTCATTCTGGACTTCAGCAGCCCCCAGAGCTGTTCTGTGTAATTAGCAGATCCTCCCCCTCTCTCTCCCCTCCCTCCCCTCCTCCTCCTCCTCCTCCCTTCGCTCAGCCTCCCATCCCAGCACCCTGCTGCTGCCTCCATCCCTGGGTGGGCAGAGGGAGAAGCTCTCTCCTGGCTTTGTGATGCTCCCCAAGTCCTGCCCCCTTAAAGAGAACCTCGTCCCTTCTCTCAAGGACACCAAGCTGCCCGCAAACAGCAGCAGTTGTCCCCTGTCCCCCCCCCTCCCTCCCCACCGCAGCCTCCGGATCATTGCACAGTGGAAAGAGATGCCGAGTATTGCCTTGCTGCCAAATCTTATCGGCCTCTGGAGGACCTGGGATTATTTTCACCCCGAATAGGGCTTGCAAAATCCATGAATAAATGAATGGATCGGCCAGCCCCATTCCTGCCACCCCAATGCAGCAAGGGTTCCACTGTTGGGACATCCCGGGGTCCTGGCACCAAGAGGAGAAACTGAGGCAGGGCCAATGGCGTGGCTGAAATGGATTGAAGCCTCCATGGGAAAACACTGCTTCTAAAAGATGCTAAAACCCATAGGAAAATAACAAGGAAGGATTTCAACAACCATTCACACAGCAGGGAGGAAAACTGCGCTATGGGATCAAATCCTGCCACCCGTGGTCCATTTTTTTGCAGCGTTCTGCAGCACTTAAAATGGAAATGAATCGCGTTATTAGCAGCTCCATCGCTAATTACCATCTGAAGCCATTCATTACCCTGTCAGTGTGTTTGCTGGAGGACAACAGCAGTTATTCCAAGCTGAGGAGCAGCAGGATGGGAGAGGGACAAAAGCAGGGCTGAGGGGATAAAAGCACTGGGTGAAAAATACAGGGAATTGGTTAAAACAGAAGAGAGAGATGGTGAAAGCTGGAGCAGCAGTAACATGAGCCCCTGCCCTCCACCTGCCCTCACTATATTTTCTTTCATCTGCTGAATGTGGGAGCAGTTCGGAAAGTTGAAGCATGCGATATGAGGAAAGTCTCCATCCATCTCTGCGTCACATCGGGGTGGCTCAGGTCTCAGGTGGTTGTCACATTGCACATGGGACGCCACCCATGCCATCCCTAAGTGAGAGCCTGTGCCCTGGCCCTGGGAACATCTGGCTCCCCACTGAAACCTCTTCAGTGGGGCAAACCCCACTTTGTAGACCCATAACACAATGAGCAAGAGGAATAATTGGGGGCCCCCAGGATCCTGATCAACCCCACCTGGGCACCTCAGCCACAGCCTTTGTATGGTCCTACAGCCCTATTTAAGCTCAGCTTTATAGCTTTCAGCTCTAATTTGGGATTTTCTGTGAGTTGGTCTCCAGTTTAGTGATATCTATGCTTGTTTCTGGTGCTACTCATATGGACCTCAACCTATGGATTGATTGGAGAGCTGCTTAGCTACTACTGGACCTGGCTGCTATGCTTACTTTATGGTTTGACCTTGAGAGTGTGGATTTGCTAGAGGTGTGCTGGTTGATCTGGGCACATAGCTGGGCTTGATCATTGTCCTCAGCTCAGGTATGAAGCTTACCTCTGAGTAATGAGGTTTCTGCCCTGCTAGTTGGGCTGTCACCCTTAGTGTCCTAGTTATCCTCTATGACTGTGAGGAGCATATGACCTTCTCAGTGTTTGTAACCAGAAGTGCCTCAGAGCTGTAGCAACCCAATTACATGTGGTCATGCCCTGATGCTCTGAAGGCATCAGCAGCACTGTTTTCCCCCATAATGATGCTCCCAAAGGGGTTGGCTTGATGCAGCACTGTTTCTGGCACACATGCAAGTGCTGTGGCAGTGACATGGAGCTGGTTTCCAGGCAATAAGGTAGGGGAAGAGATTTGATTTGAGCGTAAGGCAGGGTTATTTTCAAGCAGCCTGTTTTATGGAGACATCTGCTTGCCTCATTGGAAATGGAGGGCTGTGCTGAGCTTGCCTTTCCCTGGGATTCAGTTCCAGCTGAGCTGCAGGAGACCGTTATTGGCCTTCAGATGTAGGGACTTGTCTCCTTTAGAACTGGCCTGCATGGAGGCTCCACCTCGGTGTTGGAGACCTCTCATTTTGTAGAGGTCCTCGGGGGCTGCTGGTGGGGTACTCAGTCTTGGTGATATGTTAATCCAGTTGCCACTTATCCACCCTGATGCCATTGCCCTTGTCTCCAAAACCTTGAAGATGAGCTGGAGCACAGCAGGATATGATGGAAGTGGATGCAGGGTTCCCTAAATTTCAGCTTACTGGTGGGACCTGCAGCCTCCTCTTAACCTCCTCGGTACAGGCAGCCAGGGCTTGTCCCCCAGAACCCCTGAAAAATATGGCTCTTATCACATTCCTGCCCTAAAGTCTCATTTCCCTGAATAGTGCCAGTCTCCACCCTACAGGGAGTCCTCTCTGCTGCATACAGGATTTCCTTTCACTCATATGGTAATTGCTATATGCACACTACACAGAAGGTCTCCCTTGTTATATGTGGATTTGACCATAGTCATGACCTTCATAAGGTTAATCCTAATGCATACAGAACTTAACCCCTATAGAGGTTCTCCCCCATACGGTGGCTGCTGAACTCTTGCCCATGGAGGATCTCCCTTGCCACGTGTAGTGTCTACAATGCATGCACCCCATGGAGACTGTCCCCAGACCCATATGGAGCCTGCTACATCTTTTCCCATAGATGGTCTCCTGTGCCCAATACAGAGAGTTTACCATAGAGGATTTCCCTTGACCCATGTGGAGCCTGCCAAACTCTTGCCCCGTAGAGGGTCTGCCTCGATCCATATGGAGTTTACCATACCCCATACAGAGTTTCCCCTGACCCATATAAAGCTTACTACACCCTATGGGGGATTCTCCCTTTCTCCATTCCCCAAAGAAGGTCACCCCGACCATATGGAGTATGCCAAACTCCTTTACTGGGAGTCTCCCCTGTCCCACGTGGAGCTTACTGCACCCGTACCCCGTAGGGGATCTCCCACGACCTATGTAGTGCTCTCAGCCCCAGAAATCTGCCTTCCATCCCCTGTAGGACCCTGTGCTTTACGCACTCCCCGTCCGGCGGCATCAGGACCCTGGACAGTTCCAATCGCTCTCGCGAGATCCGGAGGGCGGCCCCGTTGGCGGGGCGGGCGGGAGACGGCGCAGTCTCGCGAGAGCGCGGCCGCTGCGGCAAGAGCGGCGCCGGGCGGCCGCCGCCACCCGCGACGCGAGGCGTGGGGCCGGTGCTGTGCGTGGGGACCCGATCGTGACGGCCGCGGGGCGGGTGAGGGCTGTCGTGCAGGGCGGGGAAGGCCCCGGGAGGCCGCTGGAACCCAATGGGGGGACGCGCCGCCCGGGGGTCCCCGCGCTTTCCGTGGGTTTTCGCCTCCCGGTGAGGCCGTTTCCGTGCGGGGATGGAGCTGAGGGAGCCCCGCTGCTGTGCGTGGGCCGAACCCCGCGGCTGGAGCCTGTGCTAATCGGCAGGGCGTTAAGCGGGGCGGGAGCCGGGATTGAGCCAGGTGTCCGCGCTAAGCCGGGCCCTGTGCTGAGGCCGGGGGGGGGAGGGAAGGAGGGTTTGGGGAATGGGGGCAGCTGGGGTGCAGCCGCACTCCCCTCAGTGCCTCCGTCTGAGTCCTCTTCCTTCCCTCCAGCTCTGACGCAGCTCCCGGCTGCTTTCCCTCATCTCTGCAGAGCGGGGAGGCAGAGAGCGTGCCAGCATGGCAGGTACGGGTAATCAGGGAGGGGGGGGAGCTTGTGTTGTTTTCCGCTCACCGCCCCTCATTAACGGGAATTCTTGTTGCAGAAAAAGCCAACAACTTCCCTCCACTGCCCCGCTTCATCCCTTTGAAGCCATGTTTCTACCAGGACTTCGAGGCTGAGATCCCGCCGCAGCACCGCACCATGGCCAAGCGGCTCTACTACCTCTGGATGCGTGAGTCGGGGTTGGCCGTGTGCTCAGCACCAGTCAAACAGGGGTGGTGTGCCTTGTCCCCCTCCAGACCTTCGTGCCCAAACCCACTGGGGATGGGGTAGGGCTGCAGCAAGCCCCAGATTTCATAGAATTGCAGATTCATAGAAATTGGGTAGAATGGTCCTTAAAGATCATTCAGTTCCAACCCCTTTGCCGTAAGCAGAGTTGCCAACTGCTAAATCAGGCAGTGGAACAGCTTTGGTGGAGGATTTGCCACCAGCAAAGGCTCTCTGAGTGTCTTTGACATCAAGGGGCTTTCCTCATGGACCTTTGTTGGTTCCCAAATGCCCCATGTCCAAGCTGGTCACATGGGCTGGATCCCTCCTGGAGTTTTGCCTGTTCTTCTTTGCATGCTTCTGCGTGCCGTGCTCCATGCTGAGAGCCACTGCTCTTCTCTAACCCCTTCAGCTGCCCGGATCTCTCTAACATCCTCCGCATGCCTCCTGTCACTTTTCCACAAAAGAGGAAAAATATATATATATAATTGTGTTTCCCTGCAGAAGCTGTTTTGGGATGTTAAATTCCCAACGGCTGCTTCACTAGTTTTTGGGATACACTTCCGTGCAGCTCCATCTGGAGCGTTTTATCAGCACAGGATGAGGGGCTCGGGGGGGAGCGGGGGTGTCAGACCTGCTGCAGGGTTTTGGGATCATGCCGCCCTCCTCGCGTGCGCTACTCCGCTCCCTCTGTGTGTGTGTGTGTGTGTGTGTTTGCAGTGAACAGCATCACCTTGGCGGTGAATCTCGTTGGCTGCCTCGCATGGCTGATTGGAGGCGGCGGAGCTGTTAATTTGGGACTGGCAATTCTCTGGCTCATTCTCTTTACGCCCTGCTCCTATGTCTGCTGGTTTAGACCTATTTACAAAGCTTTCAAGTAAGTGGTCACACCTGAGCTTGGCTTTCACGGTTTTTTAAAACTTGTATGCAGTGCTTAGCTTTGGGGCACTGTCTGAATATTTGGGGATTTCTGCTCTCCCTGCCCAGCCTTCTAGCTGTACTTTTTAATCTTCACCATGAGGCTGTTTGGCACTGGATGGGGGTAGAGCAGCAGGGATGAAGGTGCAGGAACTGACAGAGCCCTCTCTTGCAGGACAGACAGCTCCTTCAGCTTCATGGCCTTCTTCTTCACCTTCATGGCCCAGCTGGTGATCAGCATCATCCAAGCCGTGGGGATTCCTGGCTGGGGTGTCTGGTGAGGACCATGCGGTGGGCACGAAAATGAGCTCAATGGGGAGGTGGTTTTGGGATGGAGAAGAGCAGCAAAGAGAGCAAGCAGCCCCTCAGTGTCTGAACATCATGGGTAGCTTCTCTCCTTGGGGAGCTGGAGGCAAGAGTCAGGAGGAATGCTGATCGCTGGTTTCTATCTCCTTGCAGTGGCTGGATTGCAGCAATCTCCTTCTTTGGGACCAATGTTGGGTCGGCTGTGGTGATGCTGATCCCCACCATCCTGTTCACAGGAATGGCAGTCTTCTCCTTCATCGCCCTCACTATGGTACAGTGTTGGGACAGAGGCTGGGAGGGGGTCGTCGGGTTGATTTTTTCCTCATCTCAGCTCTCTCTCCGCTCCAGGTGCACAAGTTCTACCGGGGGAGTGGTGGGAGCTTCAGCAAAGCTCAAGAGGAGTGGACCACGGGAGCCTGGAAGAACCCACACGTGCAGCAGGCAGCTCAGAATGCAGCCATGGGGGCTGCACAGGGGGCCATGATGCAGCATGAGACGCAGTACTCGGCCACTCCCAACTATACCTACTCCAACGAGATGTGAGCGGCAGGCTGCGGCCTCAGGAAGAAGCACTGGGGGGGAAGGAGGAGGAGGAGGAGGAGGAAGAAGGCTGAGCTGAGTTCCTGCAGCTGTTTCAGAAAGCTGGAGTGTACCATAATCTTCTTTCCCTGTTCTTTGTAACTGGATCTATCTTTTCTTTTTTCCTTTTCCCCGTCAGCACCTTGAACTCTTCTTTTCTCCCTCTTTTATTTCTCATGTTGGAGAGGCTGTGAGTTGACCAGCAGGATTCCCGTTGTGGTAGTATGTGTATGTTCCTGTATTCTTCTTTTCCCTGTGAAATAGTGCACGGTGGTGGTTTATTATTACTGTGGTGATAGGTGTGTTAGAACTACATCAGCCAAAAGCCCCCCCAAAAGGGAAAGATTAAAAAATAGTGACCAGCACCCATCTCCTCTCTAAATAAGAGCTGAACTACAGGTTTCTGATGTGAGTTTTCTTTCACTTGGTTGTGTCCAGCCATTTGTCAGTGTCTCAGCAAGGGCAAGCAATCCTGGGAATTCTCCTTTTCTACTTTCTAATTACAGGTGGCTATTTTAGCCATTAAAAAAATGGCTGATTTAGCAGACTAAAAAAAAAAAAAAAGAAAGAGAAGAGGAAAAAACCTTCAATCCTGCTGTTGACATGCTGGAACCCAAGAGATTCCTAACCCACCCCCTGGCTCAGGATCTCCACCTTCTCTCAGTGCGTGGTGTTGTAAATGCGTAGTTTACATTTTGCAGTATTATTTTGGCGTGGCTGTGGATGAGAGCTGTGACACGCTGTGTGTGTGTGTGTGTGTTGGGAATTGAGGACAGGTTTTCCCGCTGGGGTGTGACTTTGCATCCTGAACCTGTTTTCTAAAGGCTTCTGTTTTGAAACTCTAAAACTGGCGGAGAGTATTTCTTGCAGGACCTATTCTTGGTCAAATCTTGCTGCCTCGTGCAATTAACCCCACTGATTCTGGAAACAGCAAGCCTGAGATATGTCCCTGTTGGTTTTTGGGGCACTGCTAACTTGCAGCTCCTTGTGGAAGCTCTGAGCTGGTGGGAGCAATTCTTTTTGCTCCTGCTCCTATAAAGTGTGGAGAAACCTAGCTGCATAGCTCCATTGGGCTCCCATGCAAGGATGAGTTCTCCTGGTCTACCAGCCCTGTTTGGGGAGGCTGGGCTTCCAGCAAGAGTCTTGCAGGTTAGTAGAGGGCAGCAGAGTTCCATTTGTAAATGGGAGCAGATGGGCACTGCAGGGCAGGAGGGAAAGCTCCTGCTCAGAGATGCTTTTCAGACTACATGCACTTTAAACAGGCCATTTTTCCTCTAAGTCATAGAAAAGCAGCCCAAAGGGAACACAGCCTCTGCTCCCATTCCACCATCCCACAGTTGTCAAAGCAAAGATGCTGGCATCTGTGCAGCAGTGCCAGGATGTGAAACTTGCCCATGGGAATTGCACCGAACTTGAATTTATTTATTTTTTTCCAGCCAAGCACACCAAGAATAGTTTCCTTGCTAAGGATATCACTTCAGCCATTTGGCAGTAGGCAGTTGTCTCTTGACAAGACTAAAATGCAGCTAATGATGAAACGCCTGTCTGCGTGTATGTGTGTATATATATGTATAAACTGTAAGGAGAAAAGTAATCCTTTGCTGAGCCTATTATGTACTTAATCAGGTTTAAATATTGTGCAATTCATTTCTAGCTAGCCTAAAACTTACTCTGCCAAATCACGTGCTCTGTCATCCATGTCTGCGAAATAATGAATGAAGTGACTTCACCTTCTATTAAGCTGCATAAACGATAACTGTAACGAGCTGTAACTAACAGACATTGCTTTAGCACCTAACCCTGCTCTCTGCTGTGTCCTCTGTGCGAGCGTGACGCTCACTGCCCAAACACTGATCCTGTGGAGCTGGGCAGGACCCCACTCACACTGCCTGCACCATGATGTCCCATCGCAGCCCCGTTATGGGGTTGACAGAGAGCTATTGGAGAGGGTCCAGAGGAGAGCCACAAAGATGATCAGGGGACTGGAGCACCTCCCCTACAAAGATAGGCTGAGGGAGCTCGGCTTGTTTAGCCTGGAGAAAAGAAGGCTACGGGGTGACCTCATTGCAGCCTTCAGTACTTAAAGGGAGCCTACAAACAGGAGGGGAGTCAACTGTTTGAAAGGGTAGATAACTGCAGGATGAGGGGAAATGGCTTGAAGTTGAGGGAGGGGAGATTTAAGTTGGATGTCAGGGGGAAGTTCTTTACTATGAGCGGTGAGGTGCTGGAACAGCTGCCCAGAGAGGCTGTGGATGCCCCGTCCATCCCTGGAGGTGTTCAAGGCCAGGTTGGATGGGGCCCTGGGCAGCCTGGTGTGGAATTAAATGAGGAGGTTGGTGCCCTGCATGTGGCAGGGGGTTGGAGCCTCACGATCCTTGAGGTCCCTTCCAACCCTGGCCATTCTGTGAGCTCCTCGCTGTCTCTCCTTCCCCAGCAGCCAGAAGATGCCCCTCGTAAGCCATACATGGGAAACGCTGTGTCTGCCTGCTATGCTCTGCCCTTAGGCCCCAAAGAGCCCCCGCTGTGCTCCCTGCTCGCTCCTCTGCTTCGTTTGCACCTCGCACGTGTTTTTATGGCCGTTTTCACTTAGAAACGCTTCGCACACGACCCCCGGGCCGGGATCCCTGCGGGCACTGAGGGGATGACGTGTGACCTCGCTGCTCTGTGGGGTGGCAGAACAGGGCCGTGCGCGGTGCACATCGCACCACCACCCGCGCTTTGCGTGTGGGGGGGGGTTGAGGTGATCCCCTGAGCCGCGAGGCTTTATTGGCGTCAATCCCACTTCCGGGCAAGCCCACAAGGCCAGGCTGGGCCTCAGCGCCACCTTCCCGCCGTCAGCAGCGCGCATGCGCAGCCACCCCGCGTCTCTATGGAGGACTCCATTTCCCAGCGTGCCTTTCGCCGCCCGTCTCCGTTGCTAGGCGACGCGCGGGCCGTGTGGGGGCCGGGTTCTCGCTAGGCCGCAGCTAGGCCGCGGGGCAGAGCCCGCCTATCCCGCACCACTGTAACCCTCTCCCGTTTGCCTGCTGGACTCCTCCGTCCCGTTCTCTGCCTCAGAGGCGTTTCTCAGCGTTATGGAGCTGATTAAATAGTTAAGGAGGCCTGCGAGCTGCTTGCCTTTGAGGTGGTCCTCGGTTCGTCCCCCAGAACTGTGGTTCGGTAAGAGGAAGAAGGGTTGACCCTTCTGTTGCTCGTAGTCCTTTCTGCAGCGTGCCTGTGTCGTCTTATTTCCCAGAGTTTATGGGGGAGGTGCTCTGGTTAATTAATGGTTTAGTAATTGTACAGGAAGTGTATGGAAGTGCTCATCTCTGAGCAGTGTGTGACAGCTTTCACTTTGATTAGGTGCAGGCAAAGATGTAGCACTGAAACACCTTGCCTAGCATTATGCATGCTGTGTTCCCCTTATTAATGGCTCCTGGTAAGCAGTGCTGGAAGCTGAAGCCATGCTCCTGACCTTCCTGCTTTTTCTTTTTACAGCCACGAAGGACTGAGCACAGCGTGTTAATTCTCAGCAGAGTGTGGAGGAAGGATACGTGGCCCCTGCTGTGCTGCAGCTAATAGGTGGATACAGTCAGCAAGGATCTTTGTGCTGGCAAATCTCAGCTGCTTGGTGAGGTCAGGCTCTGTGTAATTCCTGCAGTTGCTCTGTGAAAGATTTGATATTAAACTCAGTTCTGAGTGACTTCAGGGAATGGCCAAAGGGTTGATTCTCTAGATGGAACCTGGCTACTGAGCTGGTACCTAAAATAAAGGCAGTGTAAATGTCACTTCCTTCCTGCATTCTTCCCAAAATACTTACAAGTAACTTCCTATGAATAACAGGGAAGTCAACTTCACTGAATCCCAGCGTAATGCTGTCACTAAAGTACAGTTTTCAGGTATTTTCAATAAATGAATTTATTTGCTAGTTCTGAGACTTATCAAGCAGAGATGTTTGCATTGATTATGTAAAGAAGTCATAGGTTCATACAATGGATTGGATGGAATGGGCCTCAAGGAGCACTCAGTTCTGATGATGCTGCTGTGGGCAGGGTTGCCAGCCAGTAAATCAGGCACTGGATCCATTCACCCCATGCTCCATCCAACCTGGCCTTGAACACCTCCATGAATGGAGCATCCACAACTTCTCTGGGCAGGATACTTTTCTTTGCCAGAATAATGTTGAGTGATTTGTCACTGGCAATTTGTCAGCATGGTGGTGGCTCAGGAGTGACCAAAGACCATCATGAATCATCCCTACTCACCATGCACCCTCAAAAGCAGCCACTACAGCCTGTCGGTACCTTTGTCTGGCACTGCTGGGTGAGCAGTTCTGACCTTCACATTCCTTAGGAGGTGTTTTCACTTGGTGGCTCTTTTGTAGCAAGGGAGAAAACACGCACTGAATCAGTGAAACACTTATCATTATATACTTTTTCACCCATTGCAGGTGATTACTCTCCTGTTCTGCTATTGGCTAGGTACTCCAGGCTCACAATCTACACAGTGCATTTGCTAACCCATTTTTCTATATAAGGTCTATCACCAACCTGTTTTTTTAAGATTGTTTTGTACAGGAGGGTGCAGTATTTCTATGGGTACAGGAGGGCAGTATTTCTTGAAGCTGTCATGCTTGTTTTATCTTATGCCAGGCCTTCCTTACCCTCCTCTGTATTTTTGCCTTATCTCTCACTACTTAAAAAAGCCATGTTTAAGAAAGAAGAAACCCATATCAGGGAACATCTAAAGGTTACTAAGCCCCAATTCCTGATTTATGATACCAATTAGGCTGTGCTAACAAGCATAAATTTAATTATACATTTAGATTTATTTAGCAGCCTTTCCCTTTTCAATGAACTTGCGTATTCTTTCGCAGAAGTTCACATTGTTCATGTTTAATCACTGTGAGCATTGCTCAAATCCTTTGGATTATTTCTTTCCCTGGTCAGGATGCCCTAGCCTCTGTTCTGTCCTGCTGCTGAGCATCCTCCTTGTGAAAAGCAACCTGTGCTGCCATTTTAACCTACGCAGCTGTTTTGTAAGAAAGTTGTAACTTTAGTAAAGGCCTATGCCTTGGTATTGGAAGTTTCTGCTGCAAAAACACAGTCCAACTCTGACAGTGTAAAGGTCTCTTCCTTCCTCCATTCTTCCCCAAATATTTCCAGGTAACTTAACTTCTTGTGAGTAATGAGGAAGTTAACTTCACTGAATCCCTGTGTAGTGTCATCGTTAAAGTACAGTTTTCAGGTATTTTCAATAAATGAATTTATTTGTGAGTACTGAGACTTATCAAACAGAGATGTTTGCATTGATGATATAGAGAAGTCATAGGTTCATAGAATGGCTTGGTTGGAATGGGCCTCAAGGAGCACCCAGTTCTGATGCTGCTGCTGTGGGCAGGGTTGCCAGCCACTAAATCAGGCACTGGATCCATTCACCCCATGTTCCATCCAACCTGGCCTTGAACACCTCCATGAATGGAGCATCCACAACTTCTCTGGGCAGGATACTTTTCGTTGCCAGAATAATGTTGAGTGATTTGTCACTGGCAGTTTGTCAGCATGGTGGTGGCTCAGGAGTGACCAAAGACCATCATGAATCATCCCTACTCACCATGCACCCTCAAAAGCAGCCACTACAGCCTGTCGGTACCTTTGTCTGGCACTGCTGGGTGAGCAGTTCTGACCTTCACATTCCTTAGAGGTGTTTTTATTTGGTGGCTCTTTTGTTCTATGTTTTATTCACTGTTTTGATCTTTTTTTTCTTGCTTCTGAAAGAGTAATACTTAGTGCTGATGTAAATACACAGTGATATAGTGGATTGGGCATCCAATGATACTTGTCTGAGGAGCCCCAGATTTTTACTTACTGAAATGTTTCCCTGCATTTATTATTTACCAGAGTGTGGAGAGAGCACTGCTCTACTGCGTATCTTGCCTTTAGTCAGTGTGAAGGGTACAGTTATTGTTAATTCCATCCCATGTCCAACATGTCAAAGTGTCTCTCTGTTTCTTTGTCAAGCTAACAGCTCCCAAAACTGAGCCTTTGTATAGTTTGTAGCATTCTGTTTACCAGCATCCTAGAGGAAATTGTGCTTGATGGAAATGGGAGGAATTGGCTATTCCTGTGCTTCAAGGTGTGCTGATGCTTAAAAGCTTTGTGGATCAGGGTCTGAATGTTCAGCATCAGACTGAGTTGCTTTAGATTCTATACAGTCCTGTGCCTTTGGGTGTATGTTGTTGGAACTCTGCTGTGCTTCTCATTACTAAAATTTCTTTATTTCTCTATGCTTGTAGAGGTTGGTTGGACCATGGAGCCCTTCTCACTTGCAGAAACAAGTTCATCTGTGCCACAGGAAAAATTCCGTGTCCTGGTGGGTGTGACTGGGAGTGTGGCTGCTCTGAAACTGCCTCTCCTCATCTCTGGATTGCTGGAAATCCCTGGGGTGAGTAGGTCCATCAGTAAAGTTGGTGTTAACCTATTTCTCATTTCTGGCAGAGTCTAGCTGGCTTCTGCTGAAATGAGTAATTTCCTCCACCATTGAGCCTTTTAGTTTGAAAATTGGGGTGGGTTCCTCCAGCTTTTAAAAACCAATATTTTTTCCTATTTCTTACTTCTCTATACTTAAGATTTAGCTTGAAATCAAGTTGAAAGGGGAGTAACTTTCTGGGTGTTTTCCAGGGAGACATTTAGATTGTGCATTATGAAAGTATTCAGCTCAGTTTGTTTAATTTTCTGAAAAATGATTTAATACATTCTTGTTTGTTTGTTTGTTTTACTGTGGAGTATATCCATCCTTGCCAGATCTGGCTACAGACACAGAAGTGAATGCTTTCTGGAGCTTGAAATTTCTAATTAGAACCTTCCAATTTTCAGCAGGTGGGGTCTTTTCTTTACAAAGATGGACACTTGTCTGACCAACAAAAATCAACCAAGCCTTGTAAAAAACAACCAATAGAAGATAAAAAATGCAGACACATCTATTTTTTAAACTCAACTTTATCGTTTGAAGTAACAGAGATGTCCAGCAGAGGCCACTAGTGACTAAAATCAGGGAGGGAAGTGTGGTAACTTTTGCTGTAGAATAAAGTTGCAAAAAAAATAAGGAGACCTTTATCTTTTAAGAGACGAAGCATCTGGTTTGGAGCAACGGAATGAAAGAGCAGCAGGAGTGAAAGTATGCACTTAAATATCCCAATATATTGGCAGGCATATTGAATTAATAGCTTTTGGATAGCTTGGGAGGCTTTACCTCAGAGCTGTGAGAACATGAAGAATAGAATCATAAGAAATACAGCCCCTGAGTACCTTGGTGCTTTTGGTGCTCAGGACAGCCTTCATCCCAAGTGATGGGAAAAGTGCAAATGATCCAATATAGTGCATCAAATGCATTTCTTCTCTGTGAGCTTGATGCATAATTTAAAGTTGCTGATGGCCAGACCTAAATTCTGCATTCTGTGATGTGTGGTGCAGGCCTTATGGCCACTGGTTTTAGGCTTTTTTTGCACAAAAAAAGTGCAAGTTCAGCATTCAAACCATTCAGGAGCTTCTGGTACTGAATTTGTTAAGTTTATTTGTTTCTGATGTGATTTTTCTACCTGAGAGCATAACTTCTCCATTGAGTTTAACCTGCATGGGGCTGTTGTGTCAACTGAAGGAATGGAACGTAGAGAAGCTGTTGTGGAAGCAGGACAGAAGCAGAGGGGGAGTCATAGCAAAGGAGATGTGGTCAGAGGTTTCAGAATGGAGTACTTAGTGTAAAATTGATGTTTCTGCTTAAATGGTCCTCAGTGAACAACTTGGTGGTGCGACTTTTGCACTCATTAAACTTTAACATGTCCTTGAGGGTGATAACTGCCATGACTTCATCTTACTGCCTTTTGTTTTAGCTCTCTGAAGACCTGGGAATTCAGTACAACATCAGTTTATGCTTTTCGGGTTATTTTTCTTGCACATGTTGTGGGGAGACATCATGCAGTGTCTTGTCAGGGCGCCTGGGTAACTCCTGTGGTTGTGCTAGACACACATGTTGCCTCAATTGGAGTCCTGCTACTTTTGAATAGCCTGGCAGGAAAACTGGCAAAAAAAAATCACATTGACAGAGTGTCAGTTAGTCATAAAGAAAGGAAATTGCAAACTTTTCTTTGGGTGAGACCTATTGTTCTTGAAGCTTCCGGATGTTATCTGGCCTTGTCAGTTTGAGTCATGTCATAAGATTTCACTGCACTCCTGCCAGGTAGCCTCTATGTCAGCTTGTAGATGCCATTCAGCAGTAGGGGATGCTCATTCTCTTCTGCAGCAATTGCTAGCAAAGACTCTAGCTAGTCTAAACTGTCTCCAGTAAAGGAATTTGTCTGTGTGGCTGGAGAGATTTTACTGTTTAAGCAGAGAGATATCTACAGTCAAACAGAGGGTGTGCCAAGTAAATAGAAGGAAAAACTATGTAGGCTAAAGTGATCTTGAGAGCACTGATCTGTTTCCAGCATAGCTGGAGAGACTTGAAACACTCACTGAGAACAAGGGATCCAGGAGCCCACCCCAGCAGAAAACCTTAACCAGAGAGAATAATGAAACTGCCAGAGCAGTTTTTTTGGAGGAGTGGTGGAGTCATCACTCCTCAGTCCTTGAACATCTCTCTGATACCATCTCGGTTATGGTAGGTTGGATGCAGTACTCAATAGCCAGCTATTCCCTTTTCCTGGACTTTAAAGAATGTTTTTTTCCTTCAGACCAGAGATGTTTATGAAACTATCTTAAAAAAAAAAAAAATAATAAAATTTGGATTTTGGTTATGTCCCCTTTAGCCTCTTAACCAGCTATTTCTGGTCTAGGTTAGAAATGTTCGAGTACTGCTGCAATTGAAACAGCAAGACACAAAATTCAGCATAATACAGATGCAGTTGTGTCTCCTGAAGATCCTTATATTTTTATGGCTAACTGTGAAATAAGAATCCCACTAACAAATATTACTGGTGAGAGGTTTTAGTGCAGATCTGGCCTACTGGTACAGTTCCAGAGAGTAGACAACCCCCTTTAAGCTGCACATTGCTCAACAAATAAATAGTATCTTACAGACTGCAAGGTTGGTATCTCATTGAGGCTCAAAGGATAGCAGAGAGCAGTGTTAGCACCTTTGTGGGTGTCGGTGCTTGGCTCCAGACAGCTTACTTCAAGGTGAGATTAATACAGAAACAACGTGGTTGCTTGCTACATGATCTTCACACTCGCAAGCTCTAGAAATAGAGCTGTGATTCCAGGCTAGGGCCACTTGAAAAAAGAGCAGACATCTAAAAGCATCAAAAAGCCAAAAAAATACTACTAAATACTAATATTATGTGCAGCTATTTTTCTTCAGGAAATGGGAAAAATTGCCAAAACCAATGGTATGCTGTGCCTGGTTTTTTTCCATTGCTCCAAACTGCTCTTCTAGTCATGTAGGGTGCAGATAATCAGCACTGCTCTGTTCTTAGGAGTATCCTGATGGTAGAATAGATGGTGCTGGAGAGATAGGTTAACATGTTTTGTCACTTCGACCACTGCTGTTGAAGATAGCTGCTTGGAGGTTGGAGGTTTTCAGCTGTTTGTTCATGCAAGGGCACACATGCTGAGGGCTCTGTCAGTGTTGCAACTCTGGCCGCAGTGGGAGGAAGGTGTTGCTGAGGCTGGTTTTTCCCTATCTCTCTGTTGGGCCAACAGAACCACATCGCGGGTTGGTCAGAGGACTATCAGGGAGTAGACAGTGAGCAAAAATGGATGAAAATAAGGAAGTGCTTTATTTGTGGTGGTCTGATGTGCATCTACGTGTGATCAGCTCATGCAGAACAAGTCTGATTCTGGCTCTGCTTCGTGGCTGGTCCTGCTGCACATGATACCACTGAGGATAAGAAAAAGGTTGAGGTTCTCAGTACCTTCTTTACTTCTGTTGGACCGGTTATCCTCAAGATACTCTACCCCCTGCTCTGAAAATCTGGGATGGGGAGCAGAATAAACCTCCCACAATTCAGGTGGAGGCAATTAGAGACCTTCTGCTCCACCTATCACAAGTCCATGGGACCATATGGGATGCACCCAAGGGTGCTGAAGGAGCTGGCAGAGGTGATTACTGAGCCATTTTCTGCAGCATCTGATGCATGGCCTCAGATGTGAACAATCCAAATCGTTTATTACAAATTCTCACATCACTTATATACATTTCTTTTTTAATTTCCTTTTTAAGCTTTCCTATCTGCCTTCACAACTTTCCCATCCACCTTTGCATGTCAGCAGAGCATTCTACAAACTGTGCATGTGGGTGCTTATCCAGTCAGAGCCATGAACGGTTCCTTTTGCTTTTTCTCTTCTTCTAGAAGTGTCCTTGGTTCTCATGCTGTTTATCCTACTCCACAGCTGCTGCTCTGAATAGTTTTCTTGTATTCCCACAACTTTCCACCATCTATCAGTGCACTTAGTCAACTGGAGAGGTCCCAGAGGATTGGAGGCTTGCCTGCATGACTCACATCTACAAGAAGGGTTGTAAGGAGGACCTGGGAAACTACAACCTGTCAACCTGACCTCAGTGCCAGGGAAGGTTATGGAACAGATCATCTTGAGTGAGATCACACGGCATGTGCAGGACAACCAGAGGATCAGGCCTAGCCAGCGTGGGTTCACGAAAGGCAGGTCTTGCTTGCCCAACCTAATGTCCTGTAACTGGGTGACCTGCCTGATGGATAAGAGAGAGGCTGTTGGCATAGTCTGCCTTGTCTTTAGCAAAGCCTTTGACACTTTCCTGCAGTGTTCTGGAGAAGTTGGCAGCCTATGCCCTGGACAGGTGTACTCTTTACAGGGTAAGGAACTGGCTGGAGAATACATTTGTCAGAGGTACAGCTTTGAGCAGATCATGAGACATGTAGAAACCAGGGCAAATTCCATGTTTCCCAACGGCTGAGATTACTACAGGAAGAACTAAAGGAACTCCTGTCAAAGGGCACCTTAGCACCTCGTAACTGTTCATGCCAAATGTCCAAGGGACATGATAGGATTTCCTCACTTTATAGATACTTTATAGATGAAGCTTCAGATGGTTCATCTAAGATTTCAGAGATTTCTCTAAGAGAACCCTTATATACATTTTACCTGATCTCCTTTTCCTTTGTGCAAGCCACTGGTTTACTATTCTGGCTGTATAGAAACCAACTTTTGTCATCAGGAGGTACTCGGGACATCTAGAGAGAAGGGCAGAGGGAAGAATTGAAGGGCAAAGAAGTGGAGATCAAAAAAGTCATTCTTCCAAAGCAAGTGCTTTGGCGTACTGGTATACAGGGATGTATATCTTTCATAACAGGTATGGGTAGGCAGAGTTAAACTAAAATCCTGCTCTTCCAAAAATGCCCAAGGCAATGAGAGGAGCTGTGAGCCTCTGCTTCTTCTAGAGCCTTGTTCTGCGGGGATGGACTTGCTTTGAGCTGGTGGTGCTGAACCCCAGCTCCCAGCTTCTCCCTTGGCAGGACTTGTGACTGAGCACTGCACTTCCTCTTGGCTCTGAGTGTGGGAAGAGCAATCCTGGCATGCCACCCCTCAGCAGCCCTTTGTGCTGTGGCTAAGGGAATCCTCTAAGGCGAGATGCTCTGCTACTCCCTTTCGTGATTAAAGGACATCTCTCCCAGAGCTTTGGTTTGCTGCTTCTTGCTGTCTCTTTGAAGTTCTGTGCAGAGCTGCATCTCCCTTCTGACCTTCTCTGTCCTTTTTGCTGGCCCTGCTGTGAACTGACCATCTGAACGAGTTTGGCAGACGGTGACTAATCAGTGCCTGTGTTAGGGTGGCAATGAAAAGAGTCGTCAGCTCGTGTGAACACTTGCAGTGGCCTGAACTTTCAGCTCTGAATAGGTGTGGTTATGCACATGCACACAGGAGGGGAATGTCTGCATATCTTTCAAAGTCTTCACTGCTCGAGCCCTCCTCATCTACCCAGCTTTGCAGGATTTCTTCAAGCCATCACTGTTGGTCTTTCTCTGATGTGGTTTAACCTGCCATGTAGCTCAGCACCACAGTCATTCGCTTACTCTCCTCCCAGTGGGATGGGGGAAAGGATCAGGGGGGAAAAACAACAACTACAACAAAAAAACGAAATAGAGCTTGTGGTTTGAGATAAAGACTGTTTACTAAGACATTAGAAGAAAGATACAAAACAAGTGATGCACAAGGAATTGCTCACCAGCTGCCAACTGATGCCCAGGTTGTTTTTTGTTCTTTGGTTTTTTGGGTTTTTTTGCATGATATCATATGATATAGAATATCCCTTGGGCCGTTTTAGATCAGCTGTCCTGGTTCTGTCTACTCCCAGCTCCTTGTGCCCTCTCAACCCCCATCACTGGCAGAACAGTATGAGAAGCTGAGAAACTGAAAGATCCTTGGCTCTGTGCAGCACTGTGCAGCAACAACTAAAACATTGATGTGTTATCAACATTGGTTTTCTCCTAGCGCCAAAACATAGCGTCATACCAGACACTATGAAGGGAAAAAACAGCACTGCTGTCCCAGCTGAAACCAGGACATTCTCTCTTTGCTTTCTGATTAGCTTGAAGTGAAGGTGGTGACTACTGAGAGAGCAAAGCATTTCTACAACCCCCAGGAAATTCCCGTCACCCTCTACAGCGATGAAGATGAATGGCAGGTGAGTTGTTCTTCCTCAGGAGTCTGCAAGGGCTTCTCTCTAGTCCTGCTAGTAGTTCCATCATGTGTTCATGAATCCATACATTCGCTGTTTCACATGCACTTCCATGTCAGATGCCATTTTGTCAGAGTGCTCCTTTGCTGCCATCTGTCATATGGCAACAAAATGTAATGGAATATTGGTGGGAAGGCTCAACCTCAACTGCTGTATCACTAACATGCACTTCTGATGGCAACATAATAAAATAGGAGGCATTTCTTTTGGAGCAGCCCCCCTAGAAGCATTCTTCCAAGTTTCTTTGCAATGAACTAGATTCCTGGCTAGGGTTCCTTTCTTTGTTGTAGTACTGTGTGCTTTGGAGCATGGCTTTCAGAGAACACTGGCCCGCCAATGCTAAATGGAGCTGCTGTGACTGTAGCAGGGAGTTTTCTACCACCTAGCAGGCTTTGCAGCAGGCACTGTGGCTACAGGTGGTCCCTCACCACCCTGGGCTTAGCAGCCGCCCTCAGCTCTGAGAGGAGTATCAGGAAATGTCAAGAAAGCCACTGTGAAGTTGTGGTGAAGGTGTTAGGTGGTTGCCATGACTCATACTTGTCAGGAAGGCAATAGCTTAATTTTCCTTGTTGCTGCCTATTCTCAATCTGTAGGCACCACCAACAGTCACAAAACTACCCAAGCTGCTTGTGTTTTGCAGCTTCTTGCTCTGTATTTTCAAAATCTGCTTGCACCCTGGGTGAAAAACAAAGCTGTTCTGTAATACATCTGGGTCTGTTTGGAGACCTTTGTGCTGGCAGGGCCACCCCAGTGTGAGGGAGCAGGGAAATACCAGCACCTGGAGCTGCCTTGCACGAGAGTGATAGATGGGTGGCTGTACAAGATGTTTTCCTGATGGAAGCAGTGTGTTTAGCTCAAGAGGCACTGGTGCACATACACAGAAAAGTCCAGTCTGTCTTCCCTTGAATTTACCAGGCAATTTGCAATCAGTTTGACCTTTTTCACCAGTTTTCCCCTCAGACAAGTTATGGCTGAACACGCTCTGCAGATTCAGCAGTGGCCTGTGGCATCTTTCCAGCTCTTCTCTATAGAATCATCAGCATGAACTGAAGCTTTCAATGCACATTTCCCTTCCAGTGAGGGATTGCTCAGGTGCCAGGACTCTGAATATCTTTAGATTCTGTAGAATGTCTTCTTGACCAGAAAGCTTCTGCTGGTCTTAGAAGACCGATGAAGATTTCTTGGGTCTCATGGTGCTACAGCTTCAGGCAAAGCTATTTATGGGGAACCCTCTGTGGGGTGATACAAGAGGTGCAGGTCAGGCTTTGTGGTCTGTTGGCACACTGGAAAGAAGACACGTAGCCTTTTATAGTGTGCCATTCTAACAGAAGGACAGCACATAAGCATGACCAGCATGTTTGTGAGATATTTTATTCTGAAAGGAAATTTTCTAGAAAGACTTGTCGAAAAGAAAATAGAAGTGTGTGGAGGAGCTGGGAAAGGTACTGGGGAGCACCAGATTTCCGGATGCTGTGTTTTTGTTGTGGTTTCCCATGAGTCAGAGAAGGAATAGTTTGTGGCCCTGATGCACATCTTGCTGGCCTGTGGTTGTGTGTCATCTGGGGCCTAAAGTGCGTGGTACTGTTTGCTGCTTTCCTTGATGTGTTATCCCAGTTAACTGTGCTCTTAAGAAGAGCCCTGGACCCCATTGAGCAACTCTGAGTTTTACTGATAAATAGAAATGTTGGCCTAGAGCTAAGAGAGGAAGGAAGTGCCCAGTCCCTCCCAAAAAGAACCAAGCAGAGTATTCCTGTAGCTGCAGTAGCATGCTCAGGAAATGTTTCCACTGGTGTGGTCCTGTCTGGTTTTGGTTGACTGATCCAATGTCGTGGATTTCCCTGCTCAGATGTGCCATACATTGATGGAGCTTTAACGGATGGATGTTTGGGAAGCTGAGGGATGATGTGGATGGAGCAAGCTCTTTCCTGCATGTTGAAGTTGGATGTGTGAATTGTCTTTGTGGGAAAGGATACTTGCTTGTACTGAGCACATAGGCACCATTCTAAATGCTCCTTCCACGTGGCCTTCCCAGGAGGAGGCTGAAAGTCAGAAAAGTGAGCACTGTGTCTGCAGTCTCTGATTTCATCACGCTGTCAGATCTTGCTTGGTGTGAAAATAATGAGGTTTACATTGTAGTTACTACAGTGAGGTTGTTGACGTGCCTGTTGTTCACAGTGCTGGTTGTGAGGGTTTGGTAATCTGCATCCTGTCTCACCTACAGCTGTGGAAGGACCGTTCTGACCCAGTTCTGCACATCGAGCTCCGGCGGTGGGCTGACCTCATGCTGGTGGCCCCTCTTGATGCAAACACGCTGGCAAAGCTGGCAAACGGTATCTGTGACAACCTGCTGGTGAGTAACTGCAACTCTGCCTTTGAGCAGTCCCTGCATTCTCTCCCCTCACAGCACTAGCCTGACCTTTCTGTCAAGGAAACTTTTGTGTTTCAGCAGCAGCAAGATTTGCATGTTTTACTGCCAACTCAGCTGCTTGTCTCTCCTCTGCCAATATGGTTTCCCTGCTCCTTTTCAAATGTTCCTTCCCTTACCTATATCCTTTTCCATTGCTGGGCTCTGGAAGAGACTTCCATTATCTCCCAGTTCCTATTTCGTGCCTTTCCTGCTTTTTTCTATTGGATAACATTTCTCTCTTTCTACCTCTATCCTCTCTCTATCTGCATTTACACACACATGCACACACACTCACTTTTGAGTTCCTCTCTGCGTTTTTTAGATGCAATCTGGAAAGACACCTGTGAGATCAGATAAAACTGTTTACTTCCTGCTACCTGAACTCCTCCCTCACTTAACTGCACAAATTTAAACATGTGCACACTTACTTACCTTACACTTTCAACTACAGGGTTTTTTGCTTGTTCGGGCATGGTTAGTTTTTTTTTTTTTTTCTTTTTTTTTTCCTGATATTAGAAATGCTCTGTATCAAAGACTGAACAGAGAGTGTTTTGAAAGAGAGCATGTGTCTCAGTTCAGTGATAGGGAACTTCAGTGGAACTT